GAAAGAGTAAAGCAGTAAGGCAGTTCATCTGCATATGGTATTGAGTAGATTTTGGCTAAACACTGGTTTGTTTGCTTGTTTGTTTCTTTGTTTTTCCAAAAAGAAGACCATCTGGCCTCTGCAAATGTTCCTTCACTAGCTATATTCCCAGCACAATCCCTGCTTCTTCTCTTGCTCTCCATCCTGCCTTGCTTTAAAAGCATCACTCCGTATTCTTTACAGGTTTCTGGACTGAAACACTGCCATGAGAAAGGTGATAAGGGGAAATGGACGGGTACAGGGACTTGCCTGCTTTCATCCAAACTCACCATAAGAAGATATCCAATAAGCATAACTGGCATGAGTATTATGATGAGCACGTAGTCAAGGAAGGTAAACCGTTTTCTCACAGCATAATGCAGACACGTGCGGTCTTTCTAAACACAAAATAACTCTGGTTAGTAGTGGATTCAGTTATTCACACGGCTCTTCTTACAGAGTTGCTGGTTGCTGAAGCAAAGACGTAAGAGACTTCATGGCATCTCCTTTGGCAGGCCTGAGAAACACAGGCAAGTAGCAAAACCCCCAGCAGATTCCTAGTGAGAAGGGAGCTTAAAAAAATCTTTGAATACTGAGAGCACCAAAGCAACTAAAAGGTAAAGCTTTCAAATTGTATGTTAAAGAACAGTTATGTTAAACTTCCTACAGGCTGTTCAACAAGATGACAGTGTTACACTGGGACTGCAAATCGGCAGAAAAGCCTTTCTGTGTCACCCTTTGCTCTCCATTTTCAGTCCTGTCTCTGACCTCTTGCACATTTGCTGTCCTCCAATGAAATAAACAAATGCACTGGAAACCAGAGGTACAAGAACTCACAAATGTGCAGGAACTTGCTAAACATTGCCTTGGAGTATGAGATAATAGCATAGAATTGACTATGTTCGGGGGGGCTTTCCTGGCTATTTATCACCCTTGACATCAAAAGAATCCATTAATAATAAAGCTAAAACACACATCTTTCTGCTACTTTTTGTTTGTCACCAACAAGGAAATCTACCGCAGTTCCCTTAGGGAAAATAACGAGTCACATCTGCAGTGTCATGCAGGTAGGGTGTTTTAAATAAGGAGCAAGTGCAGAGCAGACAAAAGCTCCCCTCCTCACCCTCCGGCATGCTATGTGACAAAAGCAGGTGTACAGAAGGAATAAACGTTCTCTAGACCCAGCCTCTCCTCTGGGATACATTTGTGAGAGATTGACAGCGTCTTACTCAGACTTTCCTCTTATCCAGGGTGAAGAAAAAGCCAGAGACAAAAGAAGAGCTACAGAAGGGACAGATAAAAGCTGGAGGGCAAGATGAATGCAGAGTGCTGTGTGAGTAAACAGGCAGGACACACTGGGGACTGGGGGTGACCTGCAGTACGACTTAAACTGGGAATGTGAACTCAGAGAGAAAGTCAGAATGGCAATGTTTATGATCTCGCATGCCGTGGCAAGTTGGGAAAATTAATAGGGACACAAATAGAAGCTTAAAGGTTTATCAAGTTTTAATTTGGGGCTGTACTTATGCTTTGGTTGGAAATGAAACTCAGGTTTGGAAGGACTGCCAGGGTTCCCACACAGGCACTCCGAGAATCTGAAAGAGCAGTTGCTGCAGAGGAAGAATTGCTGTTGGTGTCCACTTACCTTGTTTCTGAGGTTGACATCAGCATTTCTTCTTAGAAGATACCTAACTATCCTGTTGTTTCCCTGCTTGCATGCACAAATCAGGGGGGTATCTCCACCAGTGCTGTCCTGGATGTTCAGGTAGTTGCTGTTGCGCTCCAAAAGGAGCTGAACTTCATTGAAATCGTTGTTATAAGCTGCCTGACAAATGGGCTGAAGAGAGAAGATAACATTCATCAGCACACGTTCCACCAGGACGGCCATCCGTTCTTCCCATTCTGGCTTTCTGCCTGCACAGCCTCAGACGCCGCCGGGCCCTCTCGGCAGAGGTTGTAGTTCTAGGTGACTTCCAGAAGATGGTGCCAAGAGATGCTCCTGCTGCTGCCACACAGCAGCTCTCGGCCCTCCGCCTGAGAAGTCACAGCCCTTGCGCACGCAGTGAACTTCTGCTCCCTGGGATCCGAGAAATAAATCCGGTTCATTTGCAGCCATTAGAAAACGGGTTCCGGTCTCACAGGAGTTGGTCACTGCATGAAGCAGCAAGCGCTGACCAGGCCATGCCTCTCTAGAGCTTCAGCAGGCTTTCCCTTTGCGTGGGAGCGGTTGAACAAGAGGTACCGCTTCTGCCGCACCAAATTCCAGAACAAAGAGCTTCAAGTTAAACTTCATACCTAAAAATAGGCACATGTATGCCCACAGCTCAGGTCCTCAGCTTCTGAGAACTGCTCGCTGAGCAAGTCTGTGGTCAGTGTTTCCAGGCACCCTTGACCTAACCTGCAATTCCATACCTCTCCATCAGCAAGAACTCACACTAAGGAGAGGGTAAGAATGACAGGAGTACTATCAGTCTCTAAGGGCCTAACACAAGCAGACAACAACAGTGGGAAGCCTGGCAGGCTGGCAGCATCTGAAATGCTTCAGCAGAAAAGAGGTTTCTTGCTTTTCTTGCCTTCTACACTGAGGTTTTTATTCACCATTTTCCAAGATAGGCATTCAAAAAACGTATCTTATCTGCAGCTTTCCCTTCAAGTCCTCCCTTCATTACATCCTAAAGACGTTACATGGACAAGATCAGAACTTTGAGGTCTTTCCTCATCCTCCTGCAGTTAGGTTTCCTTTTTTGTTTGGTTTTGGTTTTGGTTTATGTTGGGGTTTTTTTCACATTAAAAACATTCATATTATTTACACTTTCCCTTCAGACAACCTTTGATCTGCAACACAAGTTTACATGCAGCATTACTGCTGCTTAGACTTCTGGACAGTTGCATAAGAATCATAGAGTCATAGAATTATTCAGGTTGGAAAAGACCCGTGGGATCACTGAGTCCAGCCATCACCCCTACTCTATCAAAGTTCTTTCCTAAACCATATCCACCAACACCACATCCAAATGACCCTTTGACACGTCCAGGCATAGTGACTCCACCACCTCCCTGGGCAGCCTATTCCAATGTCTAACCCAAGGAGATCAGGTGGAGTGTGGCTGCACCTCTGTTTTCCCTACTATTCTTACTTTTAAGGATTGCTTTGCTTGTTTAAAGATGCAGGAGATTTGTTGTTTAGTTGAGCATGTGCTCAAACCCAAGCCATTTCCCACACAACTTCAGTCCTTTCTAGTCTGACTCCTGGTAGTTCAGCAGCTCCTGTAATCAAATGATATTTTTCTGTGCTGTTCTTTCTGTTCTGCTTCAAAGAGTTGTCCTTGCTAGGTCATTAAGCCCAAGGCTTTTCCGACTGATTCTCTCATTGACCTTGGGGATCTTTGTCTCAACCTCTACTCTAGAACCTCCAGTTCTAGATCCTTGATGAACATATGTGGGGCTTACCTCTCTGCAAGAGACTACTGAAGTCATGCACAGAGATCAGCAAAGAAGATTCACATGTGCCCCTTCAAACCTTCTGAAACTGGCTGTTCTCAGAAAGCATCCAGGGCACAAAGGATGTGAGGAAGCAATTATCATTGACTAACAGCTACTACACAGGTAATTGAGTACTTCAATTATGATGATGATGGTGAAGTTGTTATTCCACTGCAGTGGCTGTTTGTTTGTAGAACTGATTTGCTATGCAATCATATGTTCCATTCATAGCAAAAAAAAAATATTAAAAAATAGCCAACAACAACTAAAAAAACCCCTATACTAAAAAAAAAAGACAAACTCTTTTCCTGGATTTATGGGATTTTATCAAGGTCCACTCTACCGGTCTGCACTCTAGAAAATTCTTCTTTTAGTCAAGAAAAGGTTAGAAGTCGCATAGATCAGACTTGGAATACACCTCTCAAATTGAGAAGCATGACTACATGACTGCCGAAGCAAACATCACAACAAAATATTTAACTCAAGGAACAAAGGCATTCAAACAGTTATAAGCTCATTATCTCGATTTAACAATAGGGAAAAAATGTGTTAGGAAAGAAGAAAGATAAGAAAAACTACAAGTAAGTGGCAACCAGTAGCAATAGGACAAGGGTAATAGATTAAAACTGGAAGAGAGTAGATTTAGGTTAGACATTAGGAAGAAATTATCTAGTGTGAGGGTGGTGAGACACTGAAACAGGTTGCCCAGGGAAGATGTGGAAGTGTTCAAGGACATTTTGGACAGGACTTTGAGTAACTTGGTCTAGTGGGAAGTGTCTCAGCCTTAAGGTTCCTTCCAACCCAAATCGTTCTACAATTCCACAACAGGCAAAGGTTTCGTGGCTGACATCACTCAGTACAGGATCACCAGCTAAGGGGTGCAAGAAAGGGAAAAATCTTTCACTGTCAGCGGGAAGGACAATACCTCTACACAACTGATTTTTAATTGATACTGGTTTTAAGAAATTTTGGGCTACAGGATTGAAATCAGGATCTGGAAGTTTACTCAGGTCCAGATGAACTGCCACACCTCAACCTATCTACCTGTTTTCAGGGCTTCTTGGCTCTCTGCCTGCTTAGGAATAAATCATGAGCTATTCAGCAAGTTCTACCACACATGAGATAAAGGTTAAAAGCACGGCACTAAAGACAAAGCATTCAACCAATAGAGAAGAGGCTGAAGTAAAGCTGGTCTTGCAAATTAGAGAGTAGTTTCAGATTATAATTGCTACCTCCTTTGAGAACTGCAGGGGGTTGTCTAAATTACACCAATGCTTTGCAGTTGTTTAGACAAACATGAGTCACTTCATAATATTCAGATATTCTCAATCAATCCAGCCTCTTCCTGTGCCCTTAAATTCATCCAGAGGTATGCTAGAAACCAAACAGAAAAGTCCAAGTCATGTTTGCAATGCTGAGGAACGCACTAGTATCCAAAACATACCCCTCAGAAAAGACAACTTACACTTTCTTATTTGCAGTTCTCTAGATTTCTATCCTATATGAATGAGCCATACTTTATCCAGAAAACTATAGCTAAATAACAGTAATTTCTTGGACAACACTATGGCAGAGCAGTAGATCTAGGGAGGGGCAATAAACTCTTTCAGAATACAGTGCAGCCTACCCAGCTCGTCACCTTATGAATGCACAGATTGAAGCTCCCTGTAATACTGAAAGACGAGAAGATACTTGATTTCATTGAATAGATTTTAAACATAGAAGTTGGTTTTCAGCATAGAAATGTAATCTGCTAAAGGAACGGCTATGAAATGCAATCTTCAGAAAAAGAAGCAGCAGCATGATCCACTGTATTCACCATCAAAAAGGACCAAAATCCTCTTCTTTTCCCAAGTACACAAATTGATATTTTTATTTTTTTTTAAAATACTGGACATGTTTAGGTAGCATTCATGTGAGAAGTAAAGAGGTATGCTAAATGGACCATTGTCTGGGGACAAAACCCTAAAGATAAGATCTAAAACAAACAAACAAACAAAAATCATATTCCTAAAACAACAATGGAGGGGAAGAGGGGATGTTTTCTTAGGTATTAACTTCCTTCTCTATATTCAACATAAGCCAAGGTGTTTGTAATTTACAAAGTTGTCTGTTGTTTGTACCATGCTCGGAATAATTCTGATCTCAACACAAAACCATAATCAATATTGGACACTTCTTTTCTCTGTGAAGTCACAATAATTACACTGGTTATTATATTTTCTTCTACAAACAGTCCTTCTCTCTATTTGCAATAGCCAAAGACAACATTTCAAATGAAAGAAATACCACATTTGTATAAGCCTGTGTACAGGAAGCTAGGAAGGGAACAGACCAAACTCAGAGAGTATCAGTATCTTCAATAGCTTCAGTCACTGAGCAGAAAATGCTCACGTACCTCTGAATAGAGTATCCCCATGCTTATCTTCGCTGCCTGAGTTTGTTCTTGTTCACCAGCCCAACAAGTTAACCTCTTTTGAATGTGCTTGAACTTGTCTGAATCTGGTTAATATTTAACTGGTTAATATAAGTATCCCTCTTTCTTAAGCTGCAACTGCTTGAAGTGATCTCTACTTGGTAGAAACGATTGTCTTCAGAAACCCAACCCAGGGAGGTAAACGTGAACAACAGCTTACAGGAGACTGACAGAACAAGTTACAACATGAAGCATTTTCCTCTGTCATTTTTGCAATAACTGCCTCCAGTTGCCTAAAAAGGAAAGCAGCAAAACAAGCTGGGGAGGGGAGGAGTGGCAGAGAGAGGAAGAAAGTTGTACAGGTGAAGAAAGGGAGAGGGGGAAAGAAAGAAAGAAAGAAAGAAAGAAAGAAAGAAAGAAAGAAAGAAAGAAAGAAAGAAAGAAAGAAAGAAAGAAAGAAAGAAAGAAAGAAAGAAAGAAAGAAAGAAAGAAAGAAAGAAAGAAAGAAAGAAAGAAAGAAAGAAAGAAAGAAAGAAAGAAAGAAAGAAAGAAAGAAAGAAAGAAAGAAAGAAAGAAAGAAAGAAAGAAAGAAAGAAAGAAAGAAAGAAAGAAAGAAAGAAAGAAAGAAAGAAAGAAAGAAAGAAAGAAAGAAAGAAAGAAAGAAAGAAAGAAAGAAAGAAAGAAAGAAAGAAAGAAAAAGAAAGAAAGAAAGAAAGAAAGAAAAAGAAAGAAAGAAAGAAAGAAAGAAAAAGAAAGAAAGAAAGAAAGAAAGAAAAAGAAAGAAAGAAAGAAAGAAAGAAAAAGAAAGAAAGAAAGAAAGAAAGAAAGAAAAAGAAAGAAAGAAAGAAAGAAAGAAAAAGAAAGAAAGAAAGAAAGAAAGAAAAAGAAAGAAAGAAAGAAAGAAAGACATGAAACCTTACACTTTAAACATGTAACTGTGCAGGACAGCTAGTTTGCCACCCAAGATACTTCTAACTAAAACATAAACCAAACCCCCTGCATGAGCACTTCTGACACCTACTGAGAAAAGAGTTAGCAACTAGATTCCACACCTTGAATGAGAGTTCCCAGTATAATTGGCTTCAGTCTCTCAGTACATAGGCCAGCCATTTCCACCACCTTTTCTCAGTCTTCTCTTCCTAGCCCATCCCAAACAATGAGTATGGTTTATGCTTAAGCTGCTAATTTTATATGTTAATTGTTGTTGAGCAATTATTGTTGATGTCATTATCCCCTTTCAGTGTTCATGACTCTGAAGAAAAGATGTTGATAATATTTTGGTACCATCCTCAGACAGTATTTCTGAGTAAGCCATGAGTATTTGAAGTGTCTGCAGACCCCAAAATCTCTTTTGTCTTTATAGTTTAAAACTACTTTTCCTGTCCTCGTAAGAGAGGGGATCCAGTTCGTGGATCATTTTTGTGACCCTTCTCTGGACACGTTCCAACAGGTCCACATCTTTCTTGTGCTGGGGGCACCAGAGCTGGACCCAGTATTCTAGGTGAGGTCTCACCAGGGCAGAGCAGAGGCTGCTCTCAGTCTGCTGGCCATGCTTCTTTTGATACAGCCCAGGATGGAGTCGGCGTTCTGGGCTGCAACCGCACATTGGTGGCTCATGTCCAGCTTTTGATCCACTAGTACCCCCAGGTCCTTTTCCACAGGGGGTTTTCTGGTGCAATGTCTTTGTTCGGGTTTGTGTTGATGGCTGGACTCTGTGATCTCACATGTCCTTTCCAACCATGATAACTCTGTGATAAATGAATGGTAACAAGAAAAGTACTTTAAAAAAAACACAAGGAAAAAAAGACCCAACCAAAAAGCCTCTATGACACACAGCAAATGCATCACCTTTGAAAAGACAGTGTGAGCTACTACTTAATCCAGAGTCACATCTCTGGCCCTCTTGAAAATCACTTA